TACCATATAAAGTAAATAATGTAACCTTATAAAGCCACCTTCCAATGCGGATTTCGTCTAAAAAAATAACATTTATACACTTTAAATTATGACTCCGCCTCTAATAATTAAATTAGTGGTAAGTTCCATCAAACTAAATTCATTTTAGTTCACCTCATGTACCGAATCCCAATTTTTTTCATTTCATTATTGATATTCTATCACTTATTCATGTTCTTATTTAATTTAGGCTTCTTCATAAATCAAACAATTACTTCTTCTAATTATGTTTTTTTTTCTATTGAATGTGTAATGTTTTAGCCTTAGGAATGACGTCACCCAATCCTTCATGGGAGAAATAATTATTCTTCCCACTCCAAAATTTTCACAAAAGGAATTTTCTTATTTGGAATTGAGTTTTGACTTATTGATTTATAATTAGATCCTTAAAATTCTTCGCGACAAAAACAAAGATCTAAAAAATATTGTAAAATTCTCGCATTGAAAAGTGGTTTCCGGAGAAATATTGATCAACATCATTGTGGCTATCACAATGTGATTCTTTGACATTTATACATGGGGCATTTCATTGGCTTGTTACTTCGAAAAATTATTTTGTGATTTTATTTAATATTTTCCATGAAGTGTATGGAGAGATATCACTCTTAGATCTAATATATATGCTTGAGAAACATTGATATTGCCATTTCACGATCGAAAGGAATGCTTTGTGCTTATTCTAATGTGTATCATCAGAGGAAGCACACTTTTAAATTATGGGTCATGAAGGATTATGGTGTCAAGGTATCTTAGAATGCAATATTTTTCATAGCAGATTTCGATACTTGCAAATGGAGAAGTTATATATAATAGTTTTGGTTTGAATATTTTATTTTTAATTAAATAATTTATTATATTTTGCTTATTGAATTTATTTTTTTAATTAGCTTTTTACCAATAAACTGGAAGAGGGCATTGAACCAGACCTCCTTTTACATCTTGGTGAAGAGAAATGTTGTTCTATTAAGATTCTGATCCAATGATCTTTTTAAAACAAAACAAAAAAAAACTATTGCATTAAACGACATAAAAGTATGCAATGCAGATCATATATATATATATATATATATATATATATATATATATATTATAATTTAATTACATTGAATATTCTTCTTAATTGGATATTATTTTTAAATTTAATTCTATAATTGTTATAGTTTGATTTGGATAATGTATTATTAAATTGATGACTGTATTTTTAAATTTTGAAGACGAATTTTAAGGAAAATAAGTAAAACCATATTTATGTTTTTCCCAAAATAAATAAAATTAATGATTGTAATTTTAAATTTCGAAGATGAATTTTAAGAAAAATATATAAAATCATATTAATGTTTTTCCCAAAAATAAATGAAATCATCTTATAAACAATCAACTTGAAGGAGACATTGAACCGGACCTCTTTTTACATCTTAGGACAAGAGAACTCATGTCCTATTAAGATTTTGATTCAATGGATATTAATTGGATAATTAAATAAACTCATTTTTATGCTTTTCCCAAAATAAATAAATTAATATTTATGTTTTTCCCCAAAATTAATAAAATCATCTTATAAATAAGCCCAATATTCATCCTAGCAATATAGAAAATGAAAATTTTTAGCATTCAAATTAAAACTCTAAAGATAGCAAATAGTCAACAAAAGAACAAACCAATACTTTCAAATTAAATTCTTGAAGGTATCTATTTTTTTCTTAGTTGAGTTTATTAATTTCTTATCAATGATGGTGTCTTGAGTCAGTTTCATACGATCTTAAATACAAAACAAAGAATTGTGGAGTTGTCAAAAAAAGCAGAGTTGATGAACATTGTTGATATGAACGGGTAATTTTCTAAATTTTGTTACTCCATTTGTTTGCTAATAGTATATAGAAGAAATAAAAAAAAATCAATTTATCTTTTCTAAACTCTTGGTTGATCGTATTAACATTTGAATTCTTGAAAAACAAGTTTTTGAGAGCACATTCTTATCCTATCTTGGCCATGCAGGTTCATTTTCAAGAAGAAACACTTACATACATTCTCAGTAGGTTACTAGTGCGGTCTCTTCTTCGGTTCAAATGTGTCTCAAAATATTTAGAAATATTAATGATCCGATATTTAGGAAGCAACATCTCAATTGTGCCAAGAATGACCCAAATTTCCAAAAGTTTCTCTTTTATAAATGTCCCTCTCTGGATGATATATATTTCATATCTTGTTGTTCTTTATCGTTGGATCAACAGGTTGGGGATGTACGAGAACTGGATTAATTGCCCTTTAAATCTTAGACCACAATATTGTCGTGTCTATTGTTGCTGTGATGGCTTGGTTATTATCAAGATTTATGAAAATATTGCTGGACCTTGCTCACTTTTGTTATGGAATCCTTCCACAGAGAATCAATTGAACTTCCCACTTCAAAAAATTTAGTGAAGGGATTTTTTTTGTTATGGAATGGGTTTTGACTCAATTAATGATGATTATAAGATCCTTAGGATTCCCGTGGATTGGAATGAATGTTGTAGAATACTTGGTGAAATTCTCATGCTAAAAAGTGGTTCTTGGCGAATAATAGATGTACATCCTCGTTACATTCTGAGTATGTTGTATGGTATCCATTCTTTGGCAATTATACTCGGGGCATTTCATTGGGTTGGTATGTCACGTAATACTTTTTTTTTGGTTTCATTTAATATTTCTCATGAAGTGTATGGAGCTATCATACAATTGCTAGAGAAAATGTGGTCGTGCAACATTAATATTGGGGTTTCGAAATTGGGAGGCATGTTTTCTGTTTATTCTAACGGGTATTATCAACGGAACCGCACTTTTAAGTTATGGGTGTTGAAAAATTATGGTCTCAAGGACTCTTGGAATGAAGTATTATCTATAGTAGATCCTGATATTGTTATAGCCTCCCCGAAATATAAATTTGTAGATGGTGAAGTGTTATTTTGGTGTGAACATTCTGAAGGTGAGGAAAAATTATATAGGACACAGAGCGGACAATTTAGTACATTATTGCCTCGAGGTATCTTTCAGAATGAATTCGCTTTTACAGAGAGTTAATTTGATCTCTCCAAGATTTCTTATAACTTAGTATTTGCTTATGTATAATCACTTTTTCATTTTTTTTTTTGTTTATCATATTACAATCTCTTGTTTTGATTAGTTTATCTATCGTTTGCATATCTTTTTGTTTCAATGTATATTTATCAAAACTTTATTAATTTACTTAAGTCTAATGGTTTTATATAAACGGTCTTATCATATTATAGGCAAATTAATGAAATGAAGGTCTCTAATATTTTTCCCTTTTTATTATTATATACACATAATAATTTACCAACTAAAATTTTCTATTTAAACAATCTCTTGTCGTTATTATATCAAGTAAAAATTAAAGCCAATTTTATTTTTGAAGTAGTATCACATGGTTCAGCTGCATTGGAAATTTTCTAACTATAGTTTCTCAACTTAAATTATTGATATGGTCAATTACGAGAGATGGCATAAAAAGAAATGTGACTATTATCTATCTATTTATATATCTATATAAAAGAAGGACGTAACCCCGGTTACTAGCGCACGTATAACACATAAATCACATTTAATTTTTCATTGATTGTTATCACTACTGAATCTAATATAACATTATTACTTTTACCCTTCCATAAGCCCTTCATCTAATTAATTTTAGGAAGAAAATGTGTAAGACTTTTGTAATGATAATAAATCGACTTTGTGCAGTTATATATTCAATGTAATCTCACAAGTGAAGTTTGAGGAAGGATAGCTGCAAGAAAACATACATTAGGTTACTACAATAGCTAATGAGATGGAAGGTCATAACGAAATCACTAATTAAAGGACCATGTATGTACTACTTCTATTGAGACTAATTTTGAGGCATCGTCTCAATCATAAGTATTTGAGTCCTTGAACGATAAAAGAATAAATTCACGATGGAACGGGAGGCAATTCATAAATGGATTCCCTTTCCACAATGAGGCTATAATGTAGAATTGTTAATATAGTAATTGACTAGTTGGGATCCTACGTTGTACTATTTATATCATACTCTTGAATTAAATATTGTAGTTTCAAAGTGAATATTGTGTATTTAAATTGAAAACTATAATTTCAATATCGAAGAGGATTTTTAAGGAAAATGACATATAGTGTTATTTTTTTGGACAGTACTAATTAGGGCAAATTATAAAATTTGTTTTGTTGGTACATATTTATATTTTTTCCAAAAATAAATAGAATCGGATTAGGAATAAAGCTAGGATTTAAGTATTTAAATTGAAGCTTCATAGATGGTAAATCACCAATAGAAGAAGAAATCAGTACTTTTCAATCAAATTCTCAAAAGTATTTGTTTCTTTCTGCTATGTGTATTTTAATTTTCTATAACAACGATGGCTGAGCCGATTTTATACAATTTTTATATGTAGGATAAAGAATTATGAAGTCGTTGAAGAAAATAAAATCGATGAAGATTGTTAAATAGAATCAACTAAGTTTATGGTATAGCGATTGAGTTCATTTACTGAAGTCGGTTGTTAGTTGGACTTAAATTTTATGTATGATATGTTGCTACGGCTAAAAGGTGCTTCTTCTTTATTTAATTTTACTCTATTGGTTAAAAATGTTTTAAACCTAGTTGTGTTTGGTACTTGGTAGGAAAGAAAAAAGTTTTACGAGAAAATAGTTCTAAAAAATGTGCATTGTTGTAGCTAACACGTTAAGTATTTCGTCTAAGATATTATATATTTAACGGCAATTCAATTTTAAAATATATATTTATCATGATGAAGTGAAAGATTTTTACAATTTATTTATCATAATTTTTTTAAAAAAAATCTTATTTTATACTTTATGTCTCATAATTAATCACTGTATAACTAAATTATGAATATTACAAATACATCCAAAAATATTTAGGTAATAATCTCAAAATAAAATGTAGAAGTATAAGCTATTTCCTTTTTGTGCATTTCCTATCATCTTCAAAAAAACCTTCACAAAACCTTATCAAAATAACCACCGGCGATGGCGGCGATTGCGGCCGCCGTAGCGGCGGCGACCTCCGCTTTCACCTCATTCCACCTCACTCGCGCAACTCCCTACACGCGCCTCCACATTCGTACCTTCATAACTTCATCACTCTCCTCTTCCTCAACTAAATTCAACATCACTTTTGCTCCACCAAAACCCAAACCCAAACCCAAACCAGAACCCGCAATTCCCATAAACTCCGACTCCGACTCCAATTCGGTCCCGAACTTGGAGGCTGAAATCGGTGACCAGCTCTATATACCTTGGATTGTTCGTGATGAAAAGGGTAATCTCACTCTCCAATCTACACCTCCTGCACGTCTACTCCATGAGATGGCTAATGCTAGCACTAGTAAGAAAAAGAAGAAGGGAAAAGAGGTTGCTTCCAAAGCTGCCACGGTGGTTCCTACACCTGAGCCTAAGCATTCAAAGGCAGCTCGCCGGTTCTATAATGAGAACTTTAGAGACCCTCCTCAACGCCTCAGTAAAGTCCTTGCTGCTGCTGGAGGTAACTTTAGCATCTCTAACAATACGATTGTATGTATTACAATGTTTGGATAGATTGTATCGTATTTGGAGGACAGACTTATACGAAAAGTAACAATCACACTAAATCAGTTGTTACAAAAAATGAGATTTTTTGTTGTTATGTAATGATGGATTTAAGATATGATATAATTTAAGTAACAATCAATTCAAGACGTTATATTTAAACTAGCAACATAATACAATATATCAAGTAACAACCATCCAAAGTCCAAACAAGCTAGAAGGTACCCTTTTCTGATGGTTCAGATACCCTTTTAACCATTTTGTTTAATCAGAGACAATGACAGCAACTATGCCTCAATCTGGAATCTTGTAGGTTGGCTATGCCACAGATTGTGTTATGCGATATTTTTAAAGAGAATTGAAGTGGCATCATCAATATCTTAAGTTGTGTTGACAGATAGTTGCTGCTGCCATAGGTTGTGAGTTGTGTTGGGTTGGCCCATTATTCACTAAGTTTCAAACTGTGACCTACTGGCCCTTGGTGAATTTTGGTTATCATAAAGAAGAAAAAGTTGTTGTGGTGGCAATAATATTTAGAACTCATTTGGATGTTACTGGTGCTAGGATATAGAAAGTATTTTTTTTATTTACAGGGCTTGCTCTGTAGTTTATGTATGTGCTACTAATGAGATGTTATAATTATGAGAGTTAGCATATTAAGAACAAGGCAATGCCAGTAGATTATCTGAAATTGAGGATTCGTTTTATAGTGGCATCCAGACGGAGCAGTGAAGAGCTGATTTTTCAAGGGCGGGTCACTGTGAACGGTTCTGTTTGCAAGACTCCACAGGTCAAGTTCAGAAATGCTCCCATATCGCAAAAGTGTTAAGTTTTGAAGCTAGTGCATTTTATTTTTTTTGGTTTGAATAGACAGTTGACATCTATTCTGCTTGTTGGCAGACTAAAGTTGATCCAGCTAGGGATGTAATTTATGTCAACGGAAATCGTCTTCCTAAGAAATTGCCTACAAAGGTCTATCTTGCACTAAACAAGCCAAAAGGGTGTGTCTATCCTTCTCTCTTTATCCATGACAATGTAGGAGTTTGGACTTTTGTTTGTTATGTCTGTTAGTCGAGTTGATTCAGGTTTAACAAAATTACAGGTACATATGCTCATCCGGGGAGAAAGAAACTAAGTCAGTCATGTCCCTTTTTGATGATTTTATAAAGAGTTGGGTACGTTGTCTTCTGCTTGTATGGGTCTTCTTAAAATGTTCGTCTTTTGGGAAAACTGTGTCTTGCGAATAATGAGCTGTTTTGTAGAGCTAATTTGTAGGAATTATGTTACTTGCAAAGATAATTCTAAAAGTTGTGTCCACAAAGAGAATCTCTTGATTTTGAATAGCAGTGCATGTACTATACTCTTGACTTTTTATATCTGCTGTGCCTTGTTTTTTAAAGGATAAAAGGCATCCTGGACAACCAAAACCTCGGCTCTTTACAGTTGGCAGACTTGATGTTGCCACGACTGGCTTGATTATTGTGACCAATGATGGTACAGATGACATTTTCTTTTATTATATCAAAACACATGTAATGTGACCTCACCGAGATCTTATAAGAAAAGATAACCTCCATAAGGTTCATTTCAAAAGCTACCTACATAGTAATCTGGTTTATGTTTCTCTTTCAGGGGAGTTCACGCACCAGATTTCACATCCTTCGTCTAATTTGTCAAAGGAGTATGGTCTTATGATGATTTCCCTCTTTAAGTTTATATGCTTTGCTTTGCTTTTTGGGGTAACATACGCAATTGTCTGTACAATGTGATGATATTTTTTTTTTTACATTTAATGTACTTGTCATCTGCAATTAATTGTTCTTCTTTTCTTCAAAATATGTGTATAGTTAAAGTTTAAGCATTCAACCAGTCTTTCTGCTATGATTGTCACTCACCAAATGATTTTGTTCTAGATACATTGCAACTATCGACGGTGAAGTTCATAAGCGACACTTGATAGCCATTAGTGAGGGAACAGTTATTGACGGTGTCCATTGCACCCCAGATAATGTTGAACTACTACCAGGGCAGCCTGACTTATCAAGACCTCGTCTGCGTATTGTGGTACTGTTTACTGTTCAGTCACTTATCTTTGTTTGTCTATTAGAAGAGACACCTAGTTCCATGTTGTTTTCTTAAAATCGTGAACTAAAAGAAAAAAAAAATCTGTTTTTTTTGCTACACATTTTTTATTTGAGTAGGATTCTAGAGCAAATGTGTAGAAGCTAAGTTTTATTATGCTTATTTTAGTGGCGATACTGGTCACACAAATTTGACAATCTTATTCTTTTTACCCAGTACTGTTTGTCGTTGTGCTGTATAATTGGAATATAACAGTTTTCCTTGAATAATATGCATGTAAATGCACTCGTAGCTAGTTCAGTTCTTGTCTTGTGCATGTATGTTTAGTTCTTGAGCAGAAGTTGGGCCATACCTGTCTAGGATAGGCTAAAGTATCAGGCTACATAATTTACAGAAGGATAGATAAAATTGCAGATTCCATTTCTTCTCTCTGATTTTAGTTGCTTTTAAGTGGGTTCTACTGAGCTGTTAGAGTTACTATATTCACTTTGATATAAACAATGTCCTACAAGATAGACCAGTCTTGCCTGAACTGATGCAAGTATACTTGTCTGATGTATATCCTAGTTCCTCCAATCTGCTGTTTACTATTAGTAAAATAGAAAGGACAGCCGACACTCGAAGCATCCTGCATTCACGCAGGATTCGAGGAAGGGCCACACCTTAAGGGGTGTGATGTAGGAAACCTACCCTGATGGAAGTGTTCCTGCTCTCTGTTTAATAATGCTGTTGATTTTTTATCCACATGAGAAATTGCTTGAGTGGACCTAAATTTCTCCTTTTCCTAATGATATAGGTTCATGAAGGACGGAATCATGAAGTTCGTGAACTTGTGAAAAATGCTGGACTTCAGGTATTTTGGTTCTAACGAGTTTATTCTGGCCAACATACCTGTTCTTACATAATGGATCATATCTTAGTGAGAGCTAAAGAAATTGATTTATTTGTGCAAAGATACCACTATATCTGAAAAATTGAGTTCATATTATTATATACTGTGGTGTAGCTATTAGACATGTTCAACTTTTGGTATTTGGAAGCTTACATGCTCACTTGTTTTAGCTTCACTTCCAAAAAGATCCCTGGATGTATTATTATGGGTCAACTTCATTCTTCATTCTGTCCAGCATTGTTTCTTTCAGTGTTGCGCCAGATTAATTGTTGCTACTTGCTTGCTATGTGCAATTTTGTTCTTAATTTTCTGATGTTACTTGTGTTGACCTCAACTCTGCTTCTTTTATGTATTTCAGTTGCGTGCACTGAAGCGTATACGTATAGGTGGTTTCAGGCTCCCCGCAGATCTTGCGTAAGTTTGCAGTAGTTCTTTCTGAACTTTTTTTGGTGAAGCAGTAATATGATAAGGAAGGTCATGTTATAATGTATTACAACTTCAATCTGTATAAAAGCTGATTTGTGCAGTCTAGTTTAACAACACATATTTAAAGCTCTCTAATTGTGAAGTATGCCATACCTTAACACAGAGTGGGTGCTCTCCTGTAGGTCTTCCCGAAGGCTAGGAAGAACTTGTGTCTTGAGTTATTTAGTTAGTCAGTATTCGTCATTAGTAAGTGTGGGAGTCTGTGCAGTCTAGACTGACTGAATATTTTGTGTTTGGACTCATCTTGAGCTGAGCTTGCTGCTGCTGTTTGAAGCACGAAGCAAGGAAGACAGAGGGGTGGTTGGGTGTACCCTCTAGAAGCTGATATAGTCTGTGTTCTCTGCTGCATAGAATGCTTTTGCTTTCATTTGCTGTCCATCCATAAGGCCTCCAATATTTAAATATTAGCTCTCCTGTCTCCTATATGCTATTTAGGCTAAAACTTACCAAGTTCCACAACTGATACATATATAGGCCTAGTGGTTGGGAATTTGTACTATTCACTTGTTTCCATTGATCAATTGTCCTCTGGGCGGCATTTCTTAATGTTCCTTACTTGCAAATTGCAATAGTACGGCAATGTTAAATTCTCAAAATTATGCAGGCTTGGCAAGCATGTTGAATTAAATCAAGCTAATCTGAAGGCATTGGGTTGGAAGAGTTAAAGTTGGATGAGATCAGAACCAAGATCAGCATGCATGCATCGAACGGGCATAAGAATCGGGGATTATGAAGAAAAATTAGACAGTGACTGGTTAGTAGCATTCACTTCTGCATGTTCAATTTCAAATCTTGCAGATCTGATAAGGTATATAAGGTTTTAGTCATTGCAAGACGAATGCACCATATGTCGACTGTCAACAGTAAATATTCCCGAAATTGGGTGCTTTAGTTACCTCCATTGATTACATCTCTCTGCCTATATGCCAATTAACAAGCAACAGGCCTGTAAGATTGTACATAGCACAGTAATGCTACTGATGAATGAAATGTCCAATTATTTTCTACGACTCTTAATCCTGTCGGAGATTTATTTACAAATAGTAAATATAAGAATTGTTGAGCCAAATGGAACATATGAACATAGGGAACTCATCTTCTTTTTTTCCTCTTTTGTTTTTTGTTTTGGTGTGTGTGTGTGGCCAAACTGAATTTGTTTGGATATGAGGCTATGTTGTTTTTATTGAAAGAGTTACATGATTGAAGGAAATGATTCAGGTTATGTTTATTGCCAGCAATGTATGTTTCTTGTCTTGTAGTTCAATCTTTGATTTGGTTTATTTGTACACTGATATTTTTGTTCATTTTCACCCGACGCTACACGTGGGGCCCAACTAATTTGGATTCATGTCGGAAAATATACTTTGAAGGGTAAAATGCTTCCGATAGAAAGCAACTCTGTTTTTCATATTCGAACTTGAGATGATATTGTGTATCCTTGGTGATTGTACACTGTTGATTCAAGTGAGATTGGTCATGGTTCGGGAATATATATACCGTAGGTGTTGAACCTCGCTGGTTTTGTCTTATGTTTTGAATACCCTCGGTGAAAATTATGATTCTGCCATTAGTCTATCATGTTAGTAAAAGATACTGTTGACTTGAACATGGAAGAAGGAATGTCCAAACTAAAGAAACCACATGGACTTGATGGCCATTCTTTTAATATTGCCCACAGAACATGGAACATAAAGTTTCATAAACTTTCTAAAAACAGTTTAATTAAATTAAAATAATATTAAAACATAAATAGAACCTTCTTGGATCTCACTCTTTATTCTTTTGTCCTTTTTCTGTCTATTTAAGGATAACTCGAAGGGTTTAAATTACATATATTATTGGTACAACAAATTAATTTTTATACTATCAAATTATCAAAATAATATCTCGCGTACTAAACAATCCCAAAGTACAACAAGTCAACAACAACAAACTTAGTGTAGAGTAAGATATACACAATCTTACTCCTACATGTACTGGCTAAAGATGATATTTTCGATTGACTCTCGACAATCCTTCTCTTTATCTGAGCGTGAAATTGATAATGTGAATGAACTCACAGTAAAGGACGGATGGAAAAATTTACCCTTCTACTTTTTCATTGAATAAAAAAAAATCAAACAAGACAAAATAAAAAAGAAAAAAAATAGTGGAGAATAGTTTGAATTATTGGTGAAAATAGCAAGGATGGTGACATATTAATGTATATTTGTAGAGCTAACTACTTATACAAGCTGGCTTAGGCCGGCAACCCATGTTAAATTTCACATGTTTTCTACATTAATTATTAATACTTATTAAAAAATGACAAAACATTCTTCTATCATGCAATACCATTTATTTCATACTTATTTGTCGGTTCGATGATCCATCGAAAATAACTTAAATATCTTCTTACAAAGTAAGAATAAGGTTTTTTTTTTTTAAAAAAAAATGAGATTTTTTTTAGACCTCACTTTAAAAATTACATTGTATATATTATTAGTTGGATGATTAAACTAGCTTTTAATTTCTTGATGATTTATGTATGGTTATTAAAAAGTGGTCATGTAAAGTTGGTAATAATTGTTTTACTTTCAGAAGGTTACCTCAATCTATAGTCAAATCTTTGGAAAAAAGATTTTGTATAGATTTCATCGTAAAAAGGTAGTAGTAATATCCTTTTTTCCTTTTCCAACCTTTTTTTTTAAATCTTTTTGAATTGTTATGTAAAGAACAAATAATTCTAGTACTTTTAGGAGTTAGTTTAACTAGTTATTCCTCTGACCTGAAACGGATTCTAAATATCTCGTCTTAGAAAGGTATTTGTTGTTGGAACGAATTCAAACAAAACATCTTTTTCGGAAAGTTAATTATTGTGTAAGGTTAGTCTACTACTATATCAAATAATAAAGGTGTAATACCAAACAAAAAAGGTAGCAAAGTACATAATTTCAATCAAATCTAAAGATTTTCACCTAACACTTAATCCTTTTGAAGTAGATTAGTACATGGACCAAAATAGAAAGAAAAAGAAAAACATCACCTTGCAAGATTAGGTTCCATTTAATTAAGGTACCCCACACAAAGTACCTAAAAATTTATTTGCATTGGATATTTACATGAAGTCATATTAACATAATCTAATGAGTTAATAATTATATATTACTAATAATTAACTAGTATCAAGTGAAAAAAAAAATATACTTACAAATATGACTTAATTATCATCGATTTGATGTAAACACCTGCATTATAGGAAAAAAACTTTTATTTTGATGTTCGAATAATTGAGATATTCGTATCGTAGCTCGACTATTCAAATTTACGTAAAAACTTGTTAAATTAAAAATGAAACACACCCTGACAAAGACAATTCATAACTCTACACTCAGAAATCTCTAGAGTACTATCCATTTCACGAAAAAACTTTCGAGTTTGATTGAAAATGTCTCACATTAAAAAAAAAAAACACTCCTTGACAAAGACAACCCATGACTTATATCTAGCATAATTCGAACCTAAAATCTGTAGTACTAACCACCCTACAACAAATCTTGAGACTCGACTAAATCTAAGTCTAATAAAAAAAATTCTCACATTCGAAATAAAACATCCCCTAACAAAGATGACTCACAATTTAATACCTAACAAAAATTGAACCCGAAATCTCTTGAATAACCATTTACCACTCCACGACGACCCTCCGTGGAAGTAAAGAGGGAGAGCGTAACACAACGCGGGAATTTCAAGAAAAGGTAAAAAGGAAAAAAAGATTCAATTTTTATCTCAACACTCCTTTTATAGTACTTTGTCAAATTGTACGTGCCGGCCTCTTCCTTCTCCATTTCTCCATTAATAATAATTTTTTTTCTCTTCTCCAAACGTGAATCCCTCTTTCTATATTCTTCTTCATCAATTTCTGTATCATTTTTTGGTTTCTGGGTGTTGTTTTTTTCTTGAAAAAAATGGCGACTTCTAGTGCTACTACTGGTAGACCATCATCTTCACATAGGTCTGAAAGGTTACCTCCTAATCATGGTTCTAATAATCATGGTTCTGGAAGAAATGGGGTTGCTAATTTTAGTGTTAATAGCCAACAACAGCAGCAGCAATCGCAAAATTTGCGTTCGAAAAATGTATCATCTAATTCAAGGCGTTCTGTTACACCCACTTCGAGAAATCGGTCTCCTCCTCAGGAGAATGATCCAGGTTTTGATTTTAGTTGTTTTGATGCTTTGATGCTTTGTTGGTTAGATTGTGTTTGTGATTTTTGAATTTTGTTGTTGTTGTTGTTGTTTCTTATATGGAAAGATTGAGCATTTTTTGTCTTTATAGAACTTTGTGGATTTTGTTTGGTTTTATAGATATTGAGGATTGAGTTGTAATAAAAAACAACGACATATCCGGTGTAATTTCATAAGTGGTGTTTGGTTCGGGGAAGGTATAGTGTACGCAAATGTCACCTCTGCTTTGAGAGTAGAGGCGAAGTCAAGATTCAGAATTTATGGGTTCGAGATTCTAGTTGGTTAACTTAATGGGTTCTAAATTTATAATTTGTATTCAATACAGAATTTGGACCAAAGCAACTGTGTTTGGCTGGACCCACAATCAGTAAGCTAGCTCCGCTTCTGCTTGGGAGGTAGAGTGGTTATTTTCGATAGACCCAGGATTGAGTTGTAATATTCTTGAATATTCAGAAATGAAGTTGGTGGTGTGACAGTTGTATCACATTTTTTTTTTTTTGAAAGAAGGGTCTTTTATGTCTGAAAAAAGGAAAAAAAAAAAAACAGAAAGGAGAAAAGCTAAGTTGAATTTGGGATGTGGAGTTGATTTTTTGTTTTTGTCTTATCTGCACGTTAGATTTGAAGTTTTTGAAGATAGCTGTTCTCCAGCTAGATTTGGGTGATGATATGTATTTTGATTAACAAATGTTGGCAAATTTTGTAAAGTGGAGTAGTCATTTGAAGCATCATAATTCTGCTCACTTTATTGGTGCAAGTAAATGTGCTGAAAATTTAGGGATCAATGAACCAACTGTACCTCAATCTCAAACTAGTTGGTATCGAGTATGTGAATACTCTTTTCCTGTTCTTCTCTATTGAGGGTAATACTATTGTCTGTTAAATGTTACAGCGGATGCTAAAAAAATTGTAATTTCAGGACAAAAAGTACTCCCTTTATCCCATTTTATGTGGCGCCCTTTCCTTTTTAGTCTGTCCAAAAAGAATGTCACCTTATTATAATTGGAAACAATTTAACTTTAACATTCCCCTTTTACCCTTAATGAAATGATTTACCGCCACACAAATATTCAAAAATTGTTTTAGACCACAAGTTTCAAAAGTTTTCCTTTTTTCCTTGAACACCGTGCCAAGTCAAACGGTGCCACATTAAATGAGAGAGAGGGAGTAGTCATTTTATCACACCTCTGATTAGGCTCTTCTATTGCACACGAAAAATTATAATAGGAGCAAGATATGGCCTCCTCTCCCGAATACATACGAGGTTGACTATTTAATGTGGAGACTATTAAATGTAATTTTTAGAAGTGGAAAGCATATAGGAGGATGTCAGTTTATTGGCAAAGTTTTAGTCATCTTCTAAATTATCAAAAGAAGAATCATTTTGTTGTTTTCAGGTTCAATAAAAAGGATACACTTTACTCAGGAATGTACTTGTTAGCTGCGTAATTTTTTTCTTCCAGACAATATATATTTGCTTATCTTCCGCTTCTAAGGTTCACCTTGTGCCCACTTTGGCGTGAGTAATAAAGGAATTTTCAAGAACTGATTGGTAGGAAAACAATGGATGATCCACAAACTCAAGTACTGTGCAGAAGAAAATCATCTTTTGCACACCTCTGAACACCCACATTAGAATATTTAGAATTATCTACATTACAACCCGCTTTTATACCATGTCACTTTTCTATTTTAGAGTTATATGCAATGATGATCTCATTCAAAGTCTTTTGTGGGGATTGTAATAAGTATGCAATTGTCAGATATGATGTACTTGT